TCAGGTCTGTATACACAAACAATTTTTACATGACAATGTATTTGCAACAGATTAAAACCTATTTAAAAATGTATTGTTGAAATTAATAAAAGTGACTAAAAGAAATGTAAAACATTCTTGACTTTACACTTTTGAACATACAATCAACGTATCAAAATAATATAAATATTAAGGCAACAATAAAAATGTTTAAACTCATTTTTACCAATAAACATTACAAAAACTACACAACTGAATATGAGGATAAATTTGGGTTCTGTAGCTGTTCACATTTATTTTAAAATATTCAACTATTAAAGATTTGCCATCACCAAACAAGAAGACATAAACAACAGCACTTTCACATACTAAGCTTCAACGACACTTCTATAAATACTACAAGAAAGAAAACACTAATTCTGCTTACAAGGAAGTTAACTCACATTTTCAACCATGACGGTGTCCGAACTCTGTGTAGACTGGTTAAAACCTATTCTGTTCATGTCTCCAAAAGATCCTCCCGTGTTGGGCATTCCAGTCCCAAGCCCTAGAGCTGTTCCTGTCCCCATACCCGATGCCCCACCTCCCATAGCTGCCATCATGTTAGTGTTGGTAGCTAAACCCATGTTGGCCCCAGTGCCTCCTATTCCAAGTCCTGCAGCAGCACCCATGTTCCCACTAAAACCAGTACCCATGCCCGTATTCATACCCATGTTATTTCCCATAGCTGTGTTTAATCCCATTCCACCTACAGATGCCATGGCATTCATGTTACTTGCCATCATGTTACTCATATTATTCATATTACCCATATTACCAGTTCCCATTCCCATTCCCAAATTAGTTGCCCCTCCTGCCATTGCTCCTAAACCACCTGTAACAACAAATCAAACATTTATATATAGAAAAAGAACAAACTGAAAATATAAAAATGGTTTATGGAAAGGAAAAAAAAATATTGTCCACCTAACATATTGTTATTGTCCAACAAAAACAAACCTTTGAAATAAACATTTTACCAGACTAAGTACTTTAGGCAACTGAGTAAAATTAGTTAACACTTGAGAAGAAATTTACTAGAAATACAAGAAACACCTGCTAATAATACAATTTTATCAGTTAACACTTGAGAAGAAATATACTAGAAATACAAGAAACACCTGCTAATAATACAATTTTATCAGTTAACACTTGAGAAGAAATATACTAGAAATACAAGAAACACCTGCTAATAATACAATTTTATCAGTTAACACTTGAGAAGAAATATACTAGAAATACAAGAAACACCTGCTAATAATACAATTTTATCAGTTAACACTTGAGAGGAAATATACTAGAAATACAAGAAACACCTGCTAATAATACAATTTTATCAGTTAACACTTGAGAAGAAATATACTAGAAATACAAGAAATACCTGCTAATAATACAATTTTATCCCCTTTTTCTTTGCAGAAAGCAGACCTTTTCACTTTCATTAATACAATATTTTCTTATTTTAACCCTCTCGCTAGGAGTCTTCCTGTGGTCAGGGGTCAAAGGGCATGTCATCACGTTGGTATCAAGTTGTAGTTTATATTTCAAATTTTAGTATTATACATTAGTTAATTTCTTATTTTATTTTAAAAAATTCTAAATAAAGATTTTTGTGTGTCATGTGGTATGTTGAATGTAGCTTTGGTTTGTGATATCCAAATACAGCCTGTAGTTTCTTACAAATTACCAATATTGACAAGCTGGAATATGAAATAAAAACTTACTATCTTTTCTATTTGCTGAAATATCACTATATTTAGTGAATCAAACATGGTTGCCCCACCCATTTCTTCCATTTTTGGAAATACTTCCTTACATATACCTGCTTTGCTCATTCTTGGCTTTATAACCAATCAAAAGCTCAGACCCCCCCAAATGTTTTTCTGGTTCTTGAAGGTGGAATTGTATTTCAAAAACTATCAATAAGGTACCAATCATTAATACATATATCCCCAAAAGTTTAATTCACCTGGGGTGGGGATAAGACAAGTGTTAACTTACCAGATGTGGTGCCACCTATTCCTATTGCTGAAGATCCACCAGAAACAGCAGCAGGCGTGGCTCCTAAATTTGCTACATTAAAAGATTCTGCAAGAAATCCAGAATTGAACAGCTACTTATAAATATGAATTTTATGAGGAAATACTATATCAATCTTTACTTGAACTAACCCTAATCTTTATCAGTAGAAAACTAATATGGCATTGTATGTCAAGAAGCTAACTCTTTCAGTTGCTGAGAAATTTAAGTTTCAAATTCACAATTTCATTCAAACGTTAGATGTACAACATTATGGACCAGCAAAAAAAAGATTAAATTATAACGACCACTGTCACACATTCTTGTAAAACTGTAATAATATGTATAAAAGCTTCTAACATATTTAGTTTGCATTATAAATATTAATGTTCTTCAATTCTCACTAACCGATAGCCAGCTAGTACTACATCCTAACATCAATACATAAAACACTGCTACATCCACTGTGATGGAAACACAGAAATAACTGAGTGTATAAAAATACTGGATGAAGTCTCAGGCATTACGTGACACAATGACACTTTGTAGGTTTCATTAAAAAAGTAGTAACTTTTATAAAGAATATATATTTTATTAAAATTAAGAAAAGTTCTTAAAAAATTTAACTGAGTATTCTCTAGAAGTGGTATGAATTTTGTGATAAATCTTCATTTTTTATGTTGTCAAGGGAACCTTAACACACCTTCAATTTACTCCTATTGAAAAAAAAACCCTAACAGAATATTATATGTAACATAAAACCTTATTTACAAAACCCCAAAGATTTTTTTTAAAAGTTCTGGCTGTATTAAGAAATAGCAAGATTATGGTTATAGTAGTACTTGAAAGAAAAATGTACGTTTAAAAAATAAACATTTAGATCAAAGGGACATCTGCAGTTAAAATACACATTTACAGAATAAAAACTCCCCCCCAAAAAAACAGTTTCTATATTTTTATTTTCTATTTTACCAGAAAAAGCTGGAATGATTTACCAGACAAGCTGCATATAACATATTAGCTGCATTTTTAACTATTTTGTAACCGAAGTTCCTTACACTGCAAATAATCAGTAATAAGCTTACTACCCTGTTATCTCATTACAGGTCTAACTGAATAAGGAATTTTCTATTTATATAAAATAACTAGTGTCTAGTCATACGAGATGATTACTAAAAACAATACTTACTGTTTAAATTCAATGGCTGACCACCGGCTCCCAGCCCCTTTCCCACACTCTGTAGACCAGCTGAAATAAAAATAATAAAACATACAATGAAAAGTTTAAAAAATATCAAACCCTCATCTACTTTCCTCGATACAAGAATATCAACCCCTCATCTAGTTTCCTCGATACAAGAATATCAACCCCTCATCTACTTTCATTGATACAAGAATATCAACCCCTCATCTACTTTCCTCGATACAAGAATATCAACCCCTCTCAGATTCCTTTGGAAGTTATAATGGAAATTACAATCACTAATTTTTCATGATGACAAAAAAAAAACTACACATAAAATTTATCACAAAAACTCAGAAATACGGTGTAGCAACAAATTTCTGCTACATTTTAAAATTGCCAATTTGTCAAAAATGAATATAAAATTTTTCAGAATTCCTACTTTTGTATTTAACATATGGTTACAAATGAGAGAGGATTTATTTCTAATAATGTGTGTTTTCTGAGAGAGATCTTTTAAATGTGTGCCTGCATGGTAGATGACTTGGGTTAAATGATGCAGGCACACATTTAACCCAAGTCATCTACCATGCAGGCACAGGTAGATGACTTGGGTTAAATGTGTGCCTGCATGGTAGATGACTCGGGTTCAAATAAACACATTTAGACAGAGAAATACTGACGACGTACAATATTTTGGGTAAGATTACAAACTGAATAATTCAGTTCTAAGTACTGGTGCTAGTTCTTTTTGTGTCACGTCACAATAATATGCTGTCTAATATTTGGTAAGAATAAAAATGTTTACACCTACTTGGTAATTTGGATGGAAGTCCATCAGATTCGTCACTTTTAAATTTGTCCTGAAATATACCAAATTTACTGATGACAAATAAAAAAAACATTAACAAAATAAATGTGAGTACTTTGCACAAAATTCATAAATAATCAAAATTATTTACAAAAAAAGTTTAACAAATTTAGTAAACTAAAAGAAGTGCATAAAATAAGTCAAAGTAATAAATCTTTTAAAAATCATAAAATAAAGGCAAACTTACCATTCGAACACTCATTGTTCGAGCAAATAATTTCTGACCATTAAACATTGCTGTAAACCGAGTCAAGAATTAAACTTTATAGACAAATTTATTACACGATCTGAACACAATATAAAATTCAACCTTTTCTAAAGTGAAAAAAAGTCTCCAATGTGAATATTTGCAAACAATTTAGTGTTTAAGAGGCAGTGAACGTTAAAAACTATTGTTTTTCACGAGAAACAGTTTATATTTCTAACAGAGTATTATACTCAAAACATTTCAAGTAAAATTAATGTGCGTTGCTTTTATAATGGCCTTGAAAAATCACTTTAGGATTTAGATGCATTTTTTTTACTGTGTCACAAAAATATTAACATTTCTCACTACACAATCTCACCATCAATAAATTTAAACAATTTTCATCTTTCTTGCAATACAAATTTTATTTTTATTAATTTTAAAAAACTTAACTTTTTTGTCTTTACATCTACTTTATACAAGTAGATGCTGAATAACAATGGCTAGAAATCAAAGACAGAAAGGATACAAATAGCTTGAACAGCTTCCACTGGGTGGTCAAATGTAACAGTACCATGACCTTTACTGTTGCCTTCTTCATCTGTCTTCAAATCTATGTTAACAACTTTTCCCGATAACTTAAAAACTTCTTCTAATTTCTTACTGTCCACCTTGTAGTCGAGCTACAACAAACATATACGTTTTTAATGTATCTATAATACCTTTGATTTTTGTGGTATCGGTATAGTAATTTATACTTTTGTAATCACAAAATGCACACATAGGAGCTACAGAAATGATTTTTTACAACTTCCACATGCCAAATTTGATGAGGCTTAGCAAGCACGACATACAAGTAACAAAAAAAAACTAATATTGTAACTAGTAGAGGTTAGTTCTCTAAATAGTTATTATTCTAAGCTTTAAGGAAAAAATTGGAATTTAAGAAATTTATTTGTAAATAGTAACAATGTACAAAATACTGGTAAACTAGTACTAAAACTAAGAAGAAATCTGTATATTGTAGGCCAGTTTTATGCTATTAAATAAGATAACAGGAGCTGCATAAGAGCCACGTGATTTACAACTTGCATGGTGGGATTATTAGTTAGATGAAGTTCAAAAGTCAATAAAACAAATAATTAATAAGTATAAATAGATATGTACTGTTACAAGCTTTAAGCTATTTAGAATAAACAATTTTGGTTCCCTGTTACAATTTGCAGTCATCCTAGAAATAAAAAGTTTTTATAGTGGTTATGATGTCAGTCAGATCAACCAACCTTGTACAGAGTTAAGGTTTAGAAAATAACACAAGGTTTTACAGATTATATAAATGAAATTTGACAATCTTCAGATGAAGGAAAGTATTTATTATCTTAAAATCAAAATCACATTGCACGTTGGATGTTCAACATTCAAAAAGAAAAAATGCATATGTAAATCATTAATTTAAAAAAACCGTAAAACATAAGTTAAAAAAGCTGATGTCTTGTGTATAAAAGCCATGTAATGTTTACCGATAATCTGCTAAATTTTGTGAAGATACATTTAAATTTTACAAAGTTACAGTATAACTGCTTTATGATTACATGGAGTGGATAAAGGCTGGGTGGAATCCACCCACCTGTAGTAAAAGTGTTAATGTATTTAGAACATTGCTTTTCCAGGGTTTTTAGTTATAAGAGATTCTAAAAGGTTTGGAAAACCACGAATTAGGTATTTTTAAAGTACTTACATTAGCAACAAACACTTTACAGGTTAGTGGTCCTTGAATTCCTAAAGATTCTAGAAACTGAGGACTAAGTCCGTAGGTGTTGTACTGACTGGATGAACCACTTCCCATAACACCTCCTCCAAAGCTGTTATTCATAGAAATCCCACGTTCTCTGCTGCTTCTAGTAATAGGCCTACCATGTTTGTCTCTTTCTACTTCAAAGTCCTAACAAAAACATAATATATTATAAGTAAGCACAATAATATTCATTATACACTGGATGCCTCTTATTGTGATGATGTTATCAGAATTACTAAGTCCTGACCAAATGTATAAAAATACATAGGAAAAACACCGTTTATTGTAATCCGTGCTTTGTTCTTATTATCACCTTAACCATCTCAAGGTCAAGTGACTCAAGGAAGGTTTATCACAAAATAGGGTGTGGTTGTCAGTAAGATCCCTTACGCTCATGTGTTTCTTTTCCATAATTACAGTACAGTAAGGGTTTGTTTCTAAGTCTTCTAAACTTCCCACGAGATTCCTGTGTTCATCTCTGAAGGAGTTTCATTTACTCATAAACTGCTCTATCCAATAGTATTTAAACTGTGCTTCATTAATGATTGTTTAGACCACCTGCTGTAACATCATAAAATGGGTGGGAAGGACTTTAATAATAAAACTTCAGAAACAAAACACAGCCAGGCATATTCTCAAGGGATGATAAGGTTTTTAGGTAATGCAAATCAATACTTAGAAATGGACAGAAAAAAGTAGAATATTAACTGTATACCCCACATGGATCCTTAAAACTGTGCAAAAATGCAAATTTTAATATTATATTTTTTTTTAATGAATTATAATAAATAAATGTTACAAAATGACAACATGAATTCTAAACTATTTTTGAGCTAAAACCTGTGTTGAAATAGAAATATTTGACATATGTAGGTGTGTACTACACCCAACAGGTGCTCACTAATAACAATAGGGTTAAACAGGTGCTCAATAATAACAATAGGGTTAAACAGATTCATCATGACTAATTACAACAGGGTTAAACAAAAGTACGCTTATCCATGATGAACCTGTTTAACCCTATTGTTATTAACCATGATGAACCTGTTTAACCCTGTTGTTATTAACCATGATGAACCTGTTTAACCCTGTTGTTATTAACTATGATGAACCTGTTTAACCCTGTTGTTATTAACCATGATGAACCTGTCTAACCCTATTGTGATTAGCCGAGATGAACCTGTTTAACCCTATTGTGATTAGCCAAGATGAACCCTTTTAACCCTATTGTGATTAGCCAAGATGAACCTGTTTAACCCTATTGTAATTAGTCATGATGAATCACCTCTTTAACAACTAACGTTCTCCCTCTGTATTCATATTTATGTAAGGTATCAATTGCTTTTTGGACTGAGGCATTGTCTTTCATCTCCACAACTCTATAATAAAAGGAAAATAAACTTGTATAAGAATATGTACCAATAGGCATAGTAAATTATAAACATAAATCAACTATTGAAACTAAGTAGACCAAATTATGCATGACAGAAAAATAATACAACAAAAACACAGCAAAATATAATTTTAAATAAAACAAAGAACAATCAAATCCTAATTCCATATTACACAAAAAACTGATCGGAAACATCTAACAACAACTTTTGTCTTAGTTAAAATAGAAAATATTTTTTATAACTATTATTCTTATTTTTTTACAGGAGCATTGTCAAAAAAAATTGATAGCCAGAGGTTTATAAGCATTTATTTTATATACAAAAACTTAAAAATATGTTTGTAGTATTGACCAACTACAGGCCTTTTCTATGTAATGTATGGTAACCACTATGTTACTGTACTTTACAAAATACTGGTATACATGAGATTTGTACCTTGTTTTAATATAGAGAAGCTGTAGAACATATAATTGTACATTCAAACAAGAAATAAACACTGGATAATTTGGTCCTAAAGTGATAAGCAAGAAAGCTAAAAATACTAGCTCAACCAAAAAGGGGCCGTATTTATATTACTGGAAACTACGCATGGTTATATTAGAAACAAAATGTTCATAAGCACTACACACTTTTACATCTATACTACCACCACCCAGGAGGTTAATGTAACAAGTTTGTTGAATCAGATACAACCTTGTACAGAGCCATATCATAAATATTTTATTTCACTTTTATAAAGTACTCTAGACAATTCTTGTTGCAATCACTGCTGTAAAGAAGCCGATAAATTCTACCCCACAACGTTCTTGGTGCCTCGATTCGAACAGACACTGTAGGAAATATCCAATTATCAACTTATTGGATCAGCTCAGACTTTCTACATAGGCATAACATAAACATTATATAATACTATCCTTGAAACCATTATACTGTCAAGAAGTTGATAAATCCTACCCCACTGTGTTTTCAAAGCAGGGAAAGTTCTGGGAATTGCACTGCATCAGCTTATTTGATATCGATGCTGTCAAACTAAGTAATGAGCACTGCTTTATATCCAATAACGGTAGAACAAACATACGAAATAGATGTGAAACAATTAGAAGAAACTCTCAGGAATATTACTTTGAAACTTAGTGATCCATACTGAAAAAAAAAGACAGTACTATTCATTTTGTTTCTTCTAAGTCAGCTCCTAACAATAAAATTACTACAGAAAATAAGTATAAAAAGGTGAGAAGTATAAACTCGGACCATATGTCCTTTGAAACTTTGTGATTGATCAATACTGCACATTTTATTGTGCACTTTGCTACCTTTATTTTAGTTATACTTTGATAACTTGTCTTACAATATGGAGAATTGAGTATAATGTTACAGTAGAGAAAATGACAGATAAAATATAAAACTTTGCTGAAAATAGTGTTTGATATTTAATTACGAGGTTTTTATTTTTCACTTGTTTTCTTTATTTATTATTATAAAAGTAATTAAAATGTAAAAAAATAGAAACTTATTACGTATGATAAAAAAATAAATAAAAATCTTCATGAGGTATACTAGCGAGCAGCTCGTGTATTTGATACAGTAACACGAGCTGCATGTGTGGCAGGATATTTCTAGTCAGACACAGTTCAAAGCTCAATATAACAAAAAATTAATAAATATAAATAGATGTATAGTGTCACGAGAATTAAGCTATTTAGAACAAATGTTCGTGCTTTCCTATTGATACTTGCAGTAATTCTAGAACAAAAGAAAAGGTAATTTTGATGGTTATGAAGTCTGTCAAATCAACTAACACCATATATTTATTGTTAAGGCAGAAAAACCCAGCATGTAAAATATAATTATTTACTGTATTTAGAAGGTTTTAGAAAATATGCAAATGAAATTTAAGATTTTTGAGATGAATAGAAGTATTTTCAATCTTAACATGAAAATCACTTTTACTTAGACTAATAAAATCGATATATTCCATGGACAATTCTTTATTAAAAATACTTATCTAAAAAAATATAATTTTTTGTATGTAAAAGACTTGTAATGTTTACTGAAAGTCTGCCAAGTTTTGTGAAGATACATGTACTATATTAGAAGTTAGTAGTATCAAAACTATAACAAGTACAAAGTGGTCACATGGTTGGTCATTTTGACCCGTGGAAAGCGTTAAAAACTGATAACCTATATTTTGTGTAAGTTTCAAACAACGTGCAACGAGTAGGCACAGATTAATTTATGTCTCAGCTACTTCATCACAAGATACTGATATATGTCTGGCATTAAGATATTAGTTTAACTGCCTTCAGAGTTTCAAAACTATAACAAGTACAAAGTGGTCACATGGTTGGTCATTTTGACCCGTGGAAAGCGTTAAAAACTGATAACCTATATTTTGTGTAAGTTTCAAACAACTTGCAACTAGTAGGCACAGATTAATTTATGTCTCAGCTACTTCATCACAAGATACTGATATATGTCTGGCATTAAGCTATTAATTTAACTGCCTTCAGAGTTTCATTATAGGGTAACAGTCACCTATGACAAAAGAAATTATTAAGCTTAACTCATAATTAATTAACACTAGAGAATAGTATAATAAACAATACAGTTACAGCATGTAAGTCAGGAAACTGAGTATAAGGATATGTTTAGTAATTTTTCTGTCATTACAAAATATAAAAAAAAAACATTTATTGCAACTTAACCCCACCATGACAAATCGTGTGTCAAAGGCCATGCCATCACATTTGTTGACTTGCATTCAAAATTTTATTGAACTACTATTTTCTGAATTTATGTCAATAGGTTCGGTATCAAATTGTAGATAATTCAAATTTTAGTATTATATGTTAATTTCTTAATTTAAAAGTAGATATTAAAAAACACAGCTAAACATTGATTTTCGTGTGTCACATGGTATGTTGAATGCAGCATTAGTTCAAATTAGATGTCTGCGATATCCAAGTACAAATTTTATAGTTTTGTACGAATTAGGAACTCAGACTACCAATATTGACAAGCTAGAATATAAAAATAAGAACCTCTTATCTTTTCTATTTGCTAAGATATCTCTCATGTACTGAATTTTGCAAACACAGTGGGCCCCCACCCACTTCTTTCCATTTTTGGAAATGACCCCTTATATACACTTTCTATATATGACATGTAAATAACCAATAAAAACCTCAGAATGTCCCTCTAGTGGTTCTAGTTATGACCTTCGTACTCGTAGGTTGCTAAGCCTTATGAAATTTCCGATGTTTAGAATGTGAAAAGAATTTTTCTTCTTAGGTTTTATATGTAAATTTTAAATAACCAAGAAAATCCTAAGTTACTATATTGATACGATGGAATTCCACTATAATTTCTCAAGTGTAGTAACTATGCTGTATTTGGGTTTAAAAAATATAAAATTTTGATCCCACTTTCCTTATCCCATTGAAATGTTGTGTGAAAAGAATGAGACAATAACATGGCAAAATGGCTGAAATAAATAGCTTAAATTTCATAACATTATATATTTATTATATTGACCTTTCAGCCATGCCTGGCTAACAATACAGAGGTTACAATGATGCGGTGCACGTGCACTCGCGATACCATATCAAATAATATAAAACTGACCTTTAGTCTTTACAAGGTGACCTATCTTGGCTGTGTTTTAGTAGACTAGTATTTTGTAAAATACAGCCATATTTCAATTATTATACATTAATACTTTTTACAAACAAGTTCTTAAACTTGTTTTTCTTAAAACATAGAACAGTAAATAAAGAAGTAAAGCAAACAATTATCTCTTCGTACACAAAAAATCTGATTTTTTAATGAAGTATTTTTATTATAAATTTGTTTGGGAAAACATCAAGTCTGTTTTGTTACCAGTCCAAGTGTGAGGTGATTTTCATGTTATACTAAAAAAAACTATTGTTCGTCCCAAAAATCTCAAATATTATTTGTGTAATCTATAAAACGTCCTAAATACGTTTCAAACACTTGTTTTCAGTAAAAGCTTTATATTTTTTCTGTTATTTTCTCTACACTAACTCTATGGGATCTGTCAATTTGACCATCCTCTTAACCACCAAAAAAAATTAGGAAATAAATTTGTTTTTTCATTCTTGAATGACTACAGATTATAACATGAAAACACAAATGTTTAGACAAAAGATTTGTAATCTTTAACTAAAAGTCTACCAAATTTTGTGAAGATACACTTACTGGAATAAAAGTTATAGCATAAATACTTGACGTGTATACAAATTTGTGTATATTATATTGAGCCCATCACAAAATGGTTAATTAGTGTGGCATTTTGAAAGATCTTCAAAATGCTATTATAAAATTGAAATTGGCTGTTTTTATGAACAATATCAGACTAGCATATATTAAATAGCATTAAACATTAAGATAATGCTTACCCACAGCCTCTAAACTTTCCACTTTCATCTTGAAACAGCTCTACATAATTTACTTCACCAACTAAAAGAAAAATATGGGTATGAACAAACATTTTTTAAACTTAGCATCATGTACAGAAATAAATAGAGCTGGGTAACTAAGGGTACTTGCTAATTAATTATTCAACTTGCTCATTAACCAATTAGAACAGTACATCCACTTCATAAAAAAAAGTGAATAAAACTTGTAATAACAAAATAAAATTTTAAACTTGGACATCTAGATTACACAGGCCTGAAATATAAACTTCATAAAAGTTATTTTGGTTTTAATAATAGATTTTCTATAATTCAGCTACACAGTTTTTGAAAATAATATTCATTTTTTTTTCTATCATGTAAGGATTTTTTTTACAAAATCGGGAAGAAAAAACAGCTCTTAATTAGATCAAATTATTATGTTTGTTAACAAATATACAAACAAACTGCAGAAAAGGGAAGAACATTGAAGTTAAAATGAATATGCATCCTCATTCACCCCGATTCTTTTTGTGAAATCTACATCTTTTAGTCTTCAAACATGTTGTGGTCTTTCTTCTATGTATTGAGTCTGGAGCATCTCTTTTCAATGACCAGCAGTAATTAGCCATCATGTTGATGTTCAACCTTCCCAGATACCTTCTCTCCATTTCCCTGATGTCTTGATGAAACCTTTCCCCTTGTTCTTCACTGACGACACCGAGATTTTCAGGGAAATAGTCAACATGTGAGTGTAAGAAATGAACTTTCAAGCTCATATTACAACCCAACTCTTTGAATTTATTGAGTATGTTATTGACAATATTTTCATAATTTGGGTCAATAACATCTTTAAAGGAAATCCACGCTTCTTTTTCAACTTTCCTCATTGTCCTTTTGAACTGTTCATCCGAAGTCAATTTCCTAATCTGAGGCCCAACAAAAATACCTTCTATAAGTTTCACTTCTGAAAGAGCTTGGAAATGCCGATATAAATACTTGAAACAGTTGTCATCTTTATCCAACGCCTTTAGAAACTGCTTCATCAAGCCCAGTTTTATGTGAAATGGAGGTAATAGGGCTTTCTTTGTGTCAACCAAACTTTCATTTTGTAATACTTGTACATGTACACAACTGTTCAAAGGAAGTCTGAATATCTCTATAGTGTACTCATAAAATAATTTGACAGATTTTAAAAATATGAAATTAAATATTAAATGAAGTCTTTGAAGATGAAAGGTGGGCAAAGACTATCGAGATATCCTCAATACTTTTGTTTCTACAATAGCTCCATTCAACTAAATTTCATAACAATGAAGAATTTACTATAATCTATATCTTGAATGAAAAAAAATTTAATGATGAAATTCCAGCTTGTTAGCTGTCACTTAAGATGTTTTCAAATCTCCAAACTTGCTACATTCAGGCCTATAGGAATGATACTGCACTAGGAAATAGCTGATCATTTAATTGGATTGCTTTTTTTGACAAATGTACTATAACAAAAAAAAAGTTTAAAAAGTACAAATTTAATCATAGATTAGAACATAACTGTTTCTTTTGACAATTATACAAAATACTGTACATTCCTTCCTGTGTATAAAACTAGACATATCCAATCTTTGAACAAGTTAATAATTTACAAACAAAATACTGTACCTTCCTTCCTGTGTATAAAACTAGACATATCCAATCTTTGAACAAGTTAACAATTTACAAACAAAATACTGTACCTTCCTTCCTGTGTATAAAACTAGACATATCCAATCTTTGAACAAGTTAATAATTTACAAACAAAGTACTGTACCTTCCTTCATGTGTATAAAGCTAGACATATCCAATCTTTGAACAAGTTAATAATTTACAAACAAAATACTGTACCTTCCTTCCTGTGTATAAAACAAGACATATTCAATCTTTGAACAAGTTAATAATCTACAAACAAAGTACTGTACCTTCCTTCCTGTGTATAAAACAAGACATATCAAATCTTTGAACAAGTTAATAATTTACAAACAAAGTACTGTACCTTCCTTCCTGTGTATAAAACAAGACATATCCAATCTTTGAACAAGTTAATAATTTACAAACAAAATACTGTACCTTCCTTTCTGAAAAGATCTTTAATTTCTGTCCACTTAGACTCATAGGGTATGTTTGCAACATATACACGATGATTATTTTGACCCCTTGAATTTCTGTTATCGTAACGCCCACGGCCACCTCTAGAACCATCCCTACTTCCTCTTTCCTTTTGTTCAACTGGAGATCTAGATCTGGATCTAAATGAAAAAGAAATAATTCCTCAATGCTAAGAAATGGCTTGACTGATTCCACACTAAACTACCATTAATGAAGGTTATGTTTCTGTAACAGTTTTATTATGCAATTTTGGGATGGGTCTTTGAGAACTCAAGGAACAATTGCATAAATTAGTAAAGCTTTTGGAATTTTTAAGACTTAACTTAGACAAAAGTTACCTAAATTAGATAACTCAATCATTGTATTTAGAAGATAAAAACCTTACTATAACAATTCTAGTGTTTACCACTTGTAAATACAATCTGCACTTTAGAGGCCTAATACATTCCTCGATTGGCCATACCCTCTGCTTTGGACTACAGCTTGGGTCGGCAAACCAAATACAGTTAGGCCTCTTGTAATGGTGATGCGCATATAAAATACAATAAAATGTAAATAAAAGAAACGAAATCTAACAATCACAAGACAGTCGGTTCACTGTATAATATTAAATAATAAATTAGATACTATGTCATAATATTATTCACACACGTTATGTTCTTACAGTATGATAGGAAATGTGTTTTTTATGTAGCAACACGAGGTGGACTTAATTATTTTATCCAATCAACCGTGTTTCATTTCACTAACAATGCTGCAATGTTAGGTCACGTTAAAGTTAGCCCTTATTGGCATTCTTGAACAAGCACAGAAAACTTGTCAAAGAAAGGTAAAAACAATACATATATATTAATATATAAAATGGCTTTAAAATTTATTACTTATATTATGAAACCTATAGATTAAAAACTTTTGAAAAAGGTTTGGTACAGCTATATACCTCTGATCATACACACAATGAACTGCTTGTGATCTTTACTGAATGAAAATAAAGATAAAATTCACAGCATTATACAACTTTATAGGAAACTTTTAATAAAATGTAGAAAGATAAAAATCAGTAATTAAAATCTAAAATAAGGTAAGAACGTCTAATTGTTTTTTAATATGAAATATCAAACTGTCAAAGTTACAAATTAATACACATATCATATATAAAAATAAGTTTCAGCTATGTCCTCCAGTAGTTTTTCTATGAAACATACAAACCATACAAGTGCACCAAACCAACATATCTCAATGTTACATTTACACATGTTAACACCATACTTAAATGAAGGCCTTAGGCATGTTTTGTAACAAAAAGCATTTTTAAAAACAATTGTTAAAATTAAATATTTCAAACCAAGACACAGCCAGTACCACTACCCAATTCTAACTATTATAAATATAAACAATGTTTAGTGGCCAATTATGTATGATAAATCATGGTGCACTAAACATCTTTATAAAGTGGATGTCTAGGCCTGAAATGTTTAATTTCATATTAAAACCAGCAAACATACTTTTGTCACAAAATCTTGACGGAGTTCTTCTGTTTGGCTATTTCTTTAAATATGCAGAAGGTAGTTCAGTGATACAAGGAGTCAACTCAAGATGGGGTTGCCATGAAAAAAAGTGTTAAACTCTAACAGTAATAACATTTTATTAACAGACTGAGAGTCCCCATAATTCAAAAGGAATTCAGACATTTTTCATTGTTTTAACTCTACGTGCACACGAAGAGTTGGGCACATTTTTGTGGTGTAAAATAAAAATGAAAGTAATTTTATTTGAAAATTAAATACCCTCATCTTATACATCAACATTAGTTTTGTACATCAGTGTATGTACAAGGAAGTGGCTCGGTAGTATGGCAATAAACATGTCCTGTGTGCTATGGGGATACCATAGATATGTCAAGATGCCATAGATATGAACTAATATGAGTCTAGAGATTAAATAGTTTAAAATAATTTGTTTCAGCAGATTTCTGTGTGAAGAACTGCTCTAACCCTAACATTAAATGGCTAGTTCTAACAGTTGAGACTTCCACTAGCTGTACTGGAAGATGCTCTTTAACTGTCAAAAATCATTTACTTAAAGTGATGTCTCTGAATGTGTGATGTAGAAGTCAACACTTTTGATTGGAAACCATGCAGCAAATTAGAAATGTGGCAGGAAAATGTAAAATAAATAAATTTATATGGCATATATTAAATTGTTAATACTGACATGATTGTAACCATCTTTGCTTTAAAAGTATTAATTATGGTTTTAGTTTTAATCAAAACATGGCTGGAAAAATAAAATTAACTACCAGTATGCATTTAAGACCAATGTCAATAAATTTCATTAACTACCTGCCACATGAGCCAGCCCAGCATCTTTTAGTACCGAGCCTAAGATGGTCAACAGGGTAGTTATTCCAGAAAATGGTGATTTAACGGTTATTTCAATAGATCTCGGTGAATGAAGCTCGACATAACTTCTAAAACAAAACAATAGACAAAATATTTACTCTGCATTGCAGAAGTGGCATTTTGAATTTGAGAATTGTTAGGAAAATCATCTTCAACACTTCATCATTGTGCTTTACTGTGCCGTTAGATCTGCTTCAACGCCGTTAGATCTGCTTCAACACTTCATCTTGGGCTTTACTGTGCCGTTAGATCTGCTTCAACGCCGTTAGATCTGCTTCAACAGTAAAGCCCAAGGATGG